GGGAAAGCACGGGGGTGGGGGGAGGGTCGCTCCCTGGGCTCCAATCCTGCTTGTTCGCAGAGCTAGCCTCCCTCATCCTGAGCCCATTCACATGACAGGAGTGCTTCAGCGCGAGGGGCCGGGGAGAGACGTTTCTAACTGCAATGGCATAGGGGCCACATTCTGACGGTTATCAACCAGAACCCCAGGGAGAAGCAGCTCAGCTTTCCAGCAAGTGCAACAGGGTTTCGTGTTTTTTTTTCCCCTAAATAAACACATTGAGCTGTTGCCTTCGAGGAGATCCCTAAAAACCTGTCTACTTATTCGGGTGATTCTTCAGAGCTCATTCGACTCTTTGGAAATTGCCCCAAAGGCCACCTTTGACCAAAACGGATCAGCTTGCTTGACTGTCCAGTATTTCCCAACACAAGCATCCGAGTGACTTCAGCTGTTTCTAAAATCTAAATCCAAGTTCCAAAGGCCGAGACCCACCCCTCTGCGGGCACCCCCTACCCCCGCAACCCCAGGCACAGCATGGGAAGGGGCTGCTTGACCAGGACATTACTGTCTCAGTTGTGTTTGTCAGAGACACTTGCCTTTATGGTCAAAGCTTCTTTGTCACCTGCCTCTCTTCCTGACTCCTAAGACCCTGATCCATGCCCTGGACAACTGGGAGCATGTGGGACACTCCTACCACACTCAAGAGCAGGCTCTGCCTCCCCCGGAAGTGAGGCTCCTGCCTCTTCTCACTCCCCACACGGAGGCCAGGCCTGGGATCTGCCCAGCCTCCATTTGTTCCACTAATGAGTCTTAAGTGTTTGGCTTGGGTTCCTGCCAGTCCCACTCCTACAGAGAGGGGGCAGGAGAGAACGGGACAAGCTCTGCCAGCTCTGCTGGGCCCCGGGAACACTGGCACAGCGGCTGCCCCGCTCAGACCTGCTCAGGGATATAGCCAGGCATCCATTTGAAGCCCACTGCCTCTTTTTACCTTGCATTTCTGGGGCTTCTCCAAATGCAGATTCCTAGGGACACCTCTTGCACTGGAGTCCTGGGTGGGCCCCGGAACATGGAAGTTTTTACTTTCTCTTTCTCTTTTTGTTTTGTTTTGCTTTTGAGAGAGAGATTTTTGCCATGGGGTTCGTGAGCTTGCCAGAGAGACAGAAAGTGAGAAATCATCCCTGAAGGAAGATGGCCATGCCGCAGTCCCTTCTCTTCCATTCTCCCCTTAGGATTTCGGGCACATACACACACATACATGCCTGTCATTGAGTTTCAATCAACCAGGACCAGGACTTGAACTGTGGCCGACTACATGGGAGTCCAGTGCCTCAACCACCACATCTGCTGGCCCCAGAATGTGTAAGTTTAATAGGCACCCGGGAGGCTGGGATGGGCAGTGAAGGCTGAGAACCGCTGTTCTAGGAGTCAGCAGCAGGGGTTCCAGGCTGCCTTGTGACAATATGTGCACTTTTCCATAGTCCATGGCTTTGGTCAGATTCTCAAATTAGGTCGACAAGTTTCACATCCCTTTGAAACAAAATAAAGGCTAAGGGCACGGGTGAGCGAGAGGGTTTCTGAGTGCACGGTAGCTCTGACCCGCTGTAATGCAGACTCTGTTCAGACCCACCACGGTGAGGCCCCATGACCCGCTCCTACCAAACCTCAGGAAACGACACTGCCGCCCCAGGACAGGCTGGCACATCTGGAAAACTAGAATGACAGAAAACTGGACTGAGGGGCCATAGAATGCCAATAGCCAGGGTTTAGGCGGGGATGAGCCTAGGGGACATCCCAGAATGCTGAACTAAAAGAACCTTTAGGGATCACAGAAACCAACCCCAGCAAGGAAAATGAATTGTTACCCGTATCTGGACCTTTCTCCAGCTGAACTACGTTTCCCGGTGTCCAGTGAAGTGAGGGAGTTGCATTTTGCCACAAGGACCGTGGATCTGTGTTATGATCTGAATGTTGGCACCCCTGTATTTCAAATGTTGAAACCCTAACTCCCACGGTGATATCAGGAAGGGGTCTCTGAGAAGCAATCAGGTAGCAAAGTTAGAGCCTTCATGAATGTGAGGGATGTCCTTATAAAAGGGGCCCCAGGGGGTTGCCCTGCCCTTTGTACCATGTGAGGATCCTCCTATGTATGAACCAGGAAATGGGCCCTGGCCGATCTCAGACTTCTCCGTCTCCAGAACTGTGAGAAATAAATTCCTGGGAACCAGCAGTTAGCGTGATGGCTATGTTGCTGGACTCCCACGTAGTCGACCATAGTTCGAGTCCCGTACCCAGTGGCTTAAAACTCACGCCTGGCACGTGTGCGTGCATGCCCAAGATCCCGAGAGGAGAATGGAGGAGAAGAGATTGCGGTGTGGTCATCCCCCCTGGGGGGTGATTTCTCGCTTTCTGTCTCTATGTCTCTGTCTGTCTGGCGAGCGCATGCGCCCTATAGCAAAAACCTCTCAAAAAAAAAAAAAAAAAAAGAAAGAAATTCCTGTGGTCTGTAAGTCATCCAGTCTATGCTACTTTGTTACAACACCAAGAAAAACCCAGAAAAGCCTCCACAGGACTTCCACTGTCCTCTGGATGCCACTGAGGACTCCACAGCCCCTGAAGATGGCAGAGCCACAAAAGGGAAGGAACCTGGGCTCTGAATGACTGCAAGGCCCAGAGCACCCCCACCACCAACCTAGCCTGCCCCATGCCATGGATGAAAAATAAGCCTTTTGCTGCTGAGCTGCTAAGATCTGGCATTGCTGAATCAGCCATGAACCTACAGTAATCGATTCGCCCTCCTTAGGGACAGGTGAGCCCAGGGAGGGA